TGCTAAATAGAAAGCAGCCTGATGAAAAGTTTCCAAAAATGCCATAGCAATAATGCCTCAGAAATGTTTCCCTGAAGGTGTTACTTGGACAATGAATATGATTATAATGTGACAGAACAATTTATCTGCTGCAGCCTCCTTCACTCTTCTTCCACAGTTATTCGAAAAGGTGCCGTGAAGATTAAGTTCATAGAAACAAAAAAATTGTAAACTTGGAAGGGATCCTAAAATCTCCTAGTCCAGTGATGGCGAACCTATGGCACGGGTGCCAAAGGTGGCACTCGGAGGCCTCTCTGTGGGCACATGTGCCATTGCCCCAGCCTTGCCTCCCCCTGCGACCCCCCTCCTCACCAGCAGCCCCCCTGGAGGAGTCGCCCCTGAGCGTGGCCCATGTGGAGCAGTGCAACCAAGGACATGGCAGCCAGGCAGCGTAGACAAGACTCTGCCCTCATCCCCCATTGCGCACAGTTGATGCTGTGGGACGTGGGCAGAGGGCGTGGCTGCCATGGCGCTGCTGGGCTGCCTGGACAATCTGCAGCAGGCCTTGGGGGCAGTGAGTGGCCCTGCAGGAAGGTGGGCTGGGGGTGGGGCAGGGGGTGGAGCAGGGGGCGGGGCCAGTTTTTGGGCACTCGGTCTCTAAAAGGTTCGCCATCACTGACCTAGTCCAACCTTCAGCATTGTGCTGGAAAGAATCCATGAGAGGTAGCTGTCCAGCCCTTTCTTAAAAACCTCAAGAAAAGGAGAATGCAGACCCTCTATACCAGTGTTTGTCAACCTCAGCAACAATAAGATGTGTGGACTTCAACTCCCAGAATTTAATGGTATTTCTTTGCTCAGCATAACCTAAAAAGATTGTTGTGGGAATAACATTGCAAAAAATATTCCCAATCAAGAGAAAACTGGAAAATGCCACCTTTCCAGCTGCACAGTCTGAACTTTTTACTATGTCCCTGGTTACCAAAAGATTGTCCACTTCATAACATTATGAGCAATTGCATTGCAATCACATAAGATTACTAGTAAGGCCAGTGTGATCCTTGAGGAGTGGTCTAAAATGAAATTGACACATGTATGGTGAGGATAAATATAGACTGGTGTCTTAAATTACGCTATAAACATGAGAAAGGAATTTAAGCCAGATTTTTTTTAAAGGTTAGAGGATTTAAACTGATTTTAGAAACAATAATAATTTGCAAAGACTTTGATAATGTAGCAAAAGTATATAATTCTCCCAAGAATCTGGGGTATCTAAGCTTTGTTTTGAAGAAACTTTGGTAGCCATTGGTAAGCAGATCCTACCAAGACCTGGAATCCCCAAAGGTTCCATGTCGTCAAGCAAATATATGACTTTGTTTCTTGGTGTTGGATAGCAAGGCCAAGTTACTATATCTGTAATAGTGGTTGGGCTTGAAATTTCAAATGTGAGTTTATTACAAACATGCAGAAAGTTTGCAAATATGCATAGAAAGCATAATGACCACAGCTACTAGACCTGGAGGGCAAAAATCTGGAGAAGTGCTAGATGGTAGCAAAGAGATGCCAAACACTCTTGAATGCTTTGTTACCATCAAATGAATGTGTGGGGTTCTAAACCCAGAATTGTTAGCTCTGCACTGCATTCCAAAACAGGGTAGGGGCTCTGAAAAATATAAGAATACTATATACAATTTAATTTACTATACACTATTTTTTTCAACTAGCATTAAATGATGCAGACTTCATGTATTACATTATATAAAGGAATTAATAAAAAGGAATATCAATAATTCCCTTTGAAACTTAATTTCTGCAGAGTAACTTTGGATAGTGAGATGGGCAGCATATTAACAAATAAAAAACAAATAAATACAATCTTGCTTTTTCTTCTGCATGTCTCTTCTTTCTCAACCAGGAAAAATTGCTAACTAGGGTAAGATGAATAGGTGGCTTGTAGTAGAACAAGTGGCAGGAAGGTGAGGAGTTAGCATCCTCAGCCTCCCCATTTACATATTAAACCACACCCTCATGCCATGCTGGACATAGTAGATCATGGGGCAATTCCTCATTTGAATATAGCAACAGCAATAGCATTGAGGCTTACATACAGCCCCATAGTGTTTTATAGCACTCTTGTTTGTTTACAATGAAGAAGCATTATTTGCTTATTGCCCCCAACAATCTGGATCCTCCTTTTACTGACTTTGGAAGGATGAAAGGCTGAGTCAACCTTGAGCCTCATCAGTACTGAACTCCAGGCTGTGGACAGTTAGTCCACAATACTGCATTCTAAGCACTGGGCCACCAGGGTTCCCATACAAACCTTCTAGCATTTATAATATTACCTAGTTGGGTAATGAAATGTCTGCAAGAAAACAACCAGCTCAGAGAGCACCAAGGACTCCAAACTATTTAACTTTGGCACTGAAACACAGGATAAAATAATCTTGTTACGTACATTGATGACCTTTCAGTTATATTTATCCTTAATATTTTTGTTCTCCTTCTAGGCTTTCCATTAATGCTTAGTTGGCCAGAGTGGGAATTAGATGCCCTATTGTCTTGATTTAACATGGCTCTCCTTCAATGTGTATTTTCATTTCATCTTATGTAAGCTTTCGCTCTATCCAACATTGATTTAGTGTTTCTGGCAGGTTTTTATCTCTCAGCACAACACACCTCAGAACTGTTGCCAACAGAAACTAGAATAGCCACCTGCTCTTTTTTTGGATGAAGGATCAAAAGATATCCGTATGGTATGAGATTTAGCAAATAGGGTGGCTGTTTCAAATACTCATGTAATAGCAACAGTAATTAATACATCCCATATTTCAAAAAGCACAGATACTTTCTTAACATTATTAAGTTGTTATCAAAGTAATGGATGAAACCATTCTATTTGAAATTGGTTTGAACCCCCCAGGTTTTGAAAATTCCATGTTGCACTTTACAGGATTTTTCTGAGGTACACTTTTGATATTTCAATTCAGTTTCTACACAATTCCCAATTCCAGAAGAGAATACTTTTTTATAGACAGTCAGTCATCCAATTTTATTTGCCTTCCCTGGGAAGACTAATATGTAGGCATGTCCACATGGGAAAAAGGAGTAGAATGCAGAGTTCTAGCCTGCCCCATTGAACAACTTTCTGCAACATCATTCTTTACATTCTACATTCTTTATGTTTTACAAAGTACTGAAGAAACGGCAGCCAGTATACATATGGATTCCTCTACAGAATGGAAACCTCATTGACACAGAGCTACTAGTCAAGTGGAAAAACTTGTTTCTGGTTTCACCAAAGATGCAGAGATGAGAACCAGCTAGGAAAGTGACATTGGTGTGGAATAAGAAGGTCCCAGATATATTCTAAGTCAGTATCCAGATTAGCTGGAAGAGAGGTTATCCAACACATTCTTTCTTAACCATGATGATACTCAATGACAAAATGTGCATCATGTCATGATGTGAATGCTACTCCTTTGAGTGTTGCAACATTGTATGTAAGTATTGAAGAGGTGTAATTTGAGTAGCAATGACATGATACACATTTTTCCACATTCCTACCCCCATGTGGATGCTTGTTGGAATAGCCACCCAACAAGCTCCTTGCACTTATTTTGGTATCCTGCAGAGCCCCCTCTGATTCAGAAGATAAAAGTTAGTGCCTCTTCTTTTGGTACACAGTCTAATGAACATGTAGTACATAATCCCCCCACAAACCCCCCCCAAAAAACCCACACCACCTTTCAGGAAAGATAGCAGAAAATCTTGGCCCAACCACATCAGGACTTGGTCCTTCTCAGTTTACTTCATTTCTCCAATTCCTTACCCAAAAGTAGCTGTCGGGATTTTTAAAGTTACTCTTTCAGGATTTCACACCATTTTCAATAAGTGGTCTAACTGTAAGGTACTTGATGCTCTCTAAGCTTGATTGCTTTCTTGCAGATGTTTCATTATCCAACTCAGTAACATCATCAGTGCTCAATGGCCTAACTCGAGATGACAGATTTGATAGCCATCATCTCCTCTTTTATGAACAGTCTCTTGAAAACCCCTTCTTCTGCATGGAACTCTGCACATATTGGTAGCCAGAGAGGTTCATGAGAAGTTCAATTGTACTTGATGTACAACGTTGTCAGCTTTCAAATGTGAAAAAGGAACGTTCATGTTAAATTAAAAACAGAAGCACCGTTTTCTTGTCTTTCTGCTTGTACAAATACCGTGAGATGGCTTACAACAATGAAACAAAATACTAAACATAAACTCAATACAGATAAAATCAATTAAGAATTTAGAGCTTGCCAAAATTGCTAATGGGATCCCATCAGGAGTCTTGTTATTAGGAATTTAACACCAAAGGCACTATATTTACAAATGAATTTATATTCCAATAAACTTCTTGAGAAAGTGAATTAGGAGATGAAAGCATAGGGTAAACTTACGAATAACTAAGTCCATATGATTGAAAATTGGAATTTCTTAGTCTTCAGTTTATAACAGTTTAGCTAGTTACTTCATCTTGTAACACAAAGAAGGTTTTGGCACCTGCTGTTCTTTCTTGGACTCAACCTATAGGAATATGAGAAGCGAAGAGATTACTCTAATAAGAATGTGGGACAGGACTGGAACAGGTGGCTGCACTTGTCAAATAATCTGCACAGAACTTGGAATTTGGAAGCTCATTTGTCAAAAGAGTAAGACTTTTTGAGCCTAAATAATATTGAGAATTCCAGGGAATTACCCGTTTTTCTTTTTCTTTGCATTGCAGACCACTATACATTTTGTATATTTTGAAGCAGAATCAACTTTCTGAAAAAAATATATAATTCAGAATTCTTGGGCATTCTTACAACCAATTCAGATCAGGATCTGAAAATATGTAAATCTAAACCTATTCTTTCCTTCCTACCCCCAATACCTAAATAACCTCAACTGAATTCTGCTCATCAGCTTAACCCCACTTAAATAGGAAGCCTGTGACATCATGCTTCTGTTGCCAATGCTCTCCTCCCTCAGACTACTTTAGTTCCAGCAGAAGAATTCTCGCCCAGACAGCACTGGACGATGAGAAGAAGCTGAGAAGCTCCAGTCATTACACTCTGGGGCTCCGTCCATCTTCTGCAGGTAGAGCAACAGATGCATTTGATATGCGTAGATCTTATTTCTTCTTCAAAGAAAAAAAGAAAACTAACATTCCAAAGTGGGGAAAAAACTGAGGTTTAAAATTATAGGAACTTCTAACTTTTCCCTTGTTTTTGTGTAGCCAGAAAACTTTTAATGATGTATAGTATTGACTTTCTTTGCTTCTTATTATGGTACCATTACTAATTGTTGGACATAATGCTTGATAATAAGGACACAGGTTTATCCTTATGCACATATTTGGAATGGAGGTTCAGGGAAGCTGAATCGATCAGGACCGCCGGTTGGGTCTGAAGGGACAGGGTCGCTAGGATTCTAATATTGCAGGGTTGCGCAGAGTTACCTTTCACAGAATTAGCTTAACATAGAAGCTGAATAATAACCTGAATGTCTGAGGAACCTGAATGCAATCTCAGCTTGTTGGTGAACCAATTCAGGAGCTTTAGGCAAGCTACCATTTCTCAAACCAAGACTTTTATAGAACAGGGAACATTAGTTGGTGTTATATCGATGAAGATCCTCAGACATCCAGGTAGAGTTAGAGGGAAACCAACTAACTTGCTCAGACTGAAGAAGCTACTTGGGTGAGCAGCGAAAAAAGTTTCAAACCAACAAGAAAAGAAGTCCAGTTGCCACGACTCAACTTCCAAACATTAGTTAGTGATGTTCCTTGTAAGAATCTTAAGCATTACTATGGAAATTAGACCTTTCAAATGTTTATTATGTTTACAGCTTTGTGCTTTGTTATATTGCTCCCCACTTAATAGTACTAACATAAAAATCCTATTATAACATTTTGTCATGTTAACCTATACCTGGGAGATACCCTGTCTGTGTATCCTTTCCTGGATCAGTCCCTGTGAAATCAGTATAGGGATCCTGAGATATAGTCTCATTTATGGATCATGTAGAAAGTTTGAAAATGTAATTATGTAACTCAAGCTCAAGACCACCAAACAAAATGAAAGTATTTGATGCTCAGATCATTTTGCAAGATGGTCCTGTAGCCTCTTAATATTTTTTAGTTCCCAAAATGAATGGACTAAACTACTATTAGGGCAAGAAAGTATGGAAAAAGAATTGCAGAATATCTAACAAGTTTCTCTTAAACCTGTTTTTCTGAATGTGGCACTAAGAATTCCTTGCTTCTTGCAGATATAGAGCTATAGTACATAAATGCAAAAAAATAATAAATAACTTGTGGTCTTCAAACATCAGAAAAACTCCAGGTCAAGAATGCTATTTACAGGGTATTAATCAGGGAGAATAAAAATGGTTAGTGAATCTTGAATAATAGCTATACTATTTTTGAGAATTGTTTTTTTATCTGTCTTTATATGGCCTAGAGCATATCTCAAAATGAACAAAGGAGAGGGAGAGAGAAAGAATATAAAATTCTTTTTTAACTACATGAAAGATTGCAACTTTTCCAAACAATGGCCATTGACAGTTCTTTCCAAGATAGATTTCTAACCCAAATTTATGAAGGGAATCAAAAGAGAGAATGCAATCATTGCACCAATTTACATCCAATCAAGAAATCTATATGAACGATGGCATGAAATTTAATGCTTTCTATTTCGCCTTGATTAAAGTCCTTTGCAGACACTTCTATGCATATCAAATATTCACTGTCCTACACAAGGTTTAGTAGTATGTGCTGCAAATTTGGACAAAAACTATAAAAGGCAATGTCACCGTTCGATCATCTAGTGTTTAACTACATCTTAAAGCAAAATCGACATGTAATAAGATGATAAAATCAGCACTTATAGGATATCTGTAGGCGAACCAACAAGGATTCTCTAATTTAAAGACTAGCTTGTTGCAAGACTGCTGGCTTTTTCTAATATTAATTTCTATATTAACTGAGCAGATTTCTTTAGACCAAGATGAGACCAAGATGCTTGGAAAACCCCCAATATGCATGGAATTCTCTTACATCAGGAGGGTGGTGGGATTATTATCCATTTCATTCTTTATTCTATGAGGGGTCACAACAGCAATTTGATCAAAGTAGGGGAGGATCAGAATTACTTTTTTTTCATTTGGGAGTTATGGATATATTTTGGTTCATGTCAACAGTGCAGTGGGTGGAGGCATCGTCTTTGAAGACCATTTTTCCTTCCCAGTTGTCCTTCCTTAGAAAGGAAGGAAGGAAGGAAGGAAGGAAGGAAGGAAGGAAGGAAGGAAGGAAGGAAGGAAGGAAGGAAGGAAGGAAGGGAGTCCTGCCAATACCTAGCAAGACCTAGGAGTCCTAGCCATGACATTGCCAATGTTCTGAAAGTTGTAGTTCTGACTCCTTTGGAGGATATCAGATAGGGGAAGATGGCTTTAACATTTCAGGTGCAGGACCTTCACAGCTTTGATACTTATTCTAAGAAATTAACTTTAGATATGTAAATCTCCAGTTGAACTGCCGCAGCATCTGCATGTTCATTAACATTTGTGGTCAAGATTGTTAGTCATAAATCCAAACCTAGATTTATACTATTGCTAAGAAAAATGACTTTGGGATGAAAATCTTTTTTTGTCTTATGAAATGCCTGCTTATCACTTTGTAGGCTTTTAAAAGTAGCGCTATGTTTGCTTAAGGATACGTTCCATTTAAGTGCAATGAGACTTATTCTTAGGCAAGCGAGTATTAGGTTGCAGCCCAATACTTCCAGTAGATACTTATACATGCTTGCTCAAAAATAAGGCCCTTTGAATTCAAGCAGTTATGAACTGTAGTCTTATTAGAAACATCTTGTTAGTTTCCTTGGAGGGACACCTTCAATAATATATGCTCTCATTCTCTCCAATTTAATTAATCGGAGTGTCTGCAACTTCCACATTTGAGCAGAAAAAAATGGCCAGATCTCAGTAAATCTTAAATCTCGTGAAAGTTTTGCATTCCCATGCAGCTGTTGTGATGCACTGAAGTCATATGTAATTTTGGTGTTCTCAAGAGATCACATGAGATTTTGGGGTTGAGATTGATGGGGAAGGATTTGCACAGGAAAAGGATGATGCAATAGTTAAGACTTCTGTGCAGAAGTGAGATCCTCCTTCTACAAAACCATACATAGTTTTATTATAAAGCTCATTTGGCTCAATGGAAGAAAGGCTATTATATTTTCAAATATAGTTGCCCCACAGTTTGGTGATGGATTATATTTTCATTTTGTATGGACCTCGCACTGTCTAATACAGGATTCACATCCTTGAAAAAAAAAACCTGGCCTTACAGAAAGGTGATGAAGGAAAGAAATGTTTATCTTCAGATTTCTCTCTCCTCTCTTACAATAAAGAATAAAATTCAGTCAATAACTGCTCAGTGTCTCTAGGTGTTCAGCTTTAGTATCCTTATTGTCAGTATCTTTATCTGAATTACTGTTTTTGATTGCTGTTTTGTGTTCTGTTATGCTTGTATATTGGTTTTATTATATTCTATTTGTGTGCACAACTTTATTTGGATTTTTTACCCCTCCACTGCCCTGGAGTCCTCTAGATAAAGGGTGACTAAGAAATATTTTTAATTACTCCAGTGCAAACCATTTATAGCCCTGACCATGCATACAGATGGATTAAATGTCTAGGTAATTTCATCTTGGCAGTCTCTATACAGGGTTCATTTGTTCAGATCAGATCCTATCACAATACATTTGATACGACAACTTTTTTAATCACCCTGTATATCATAGAGGCATCATATTGACTAGGAAATCTGAGAGTCAAAATCCATTAATACAATGGGCAACAGGTTGGAGATGGTAGCAGAGGCGTAGCGTGGGGGGTGCAGGGCCCGGGCGCACCGGGCGCAACATCTGGGGGGGCGCGCTCGCACTCGCAGCTCTCTGCCCCTGCCTGGCTCACTCACTCTCTCTGCAGTGCTGGCTGTGCGAATCCGATCCGAGCCGCCGGGTCGCCGCCCACTGTGGAGGGGGGGCGCAAATTACTTGCTTTGCCCCGGGTGCTGACAACCCACGCTACGCCACTGGATGGTAGGTCCAAATATATGGAGAGATACTCGCAATTTTCTGCCATAGGTCAGAATTAACATAATAACAGAATGACAGAGTTGGAAGGGACCTTGGAGATCTTCTAGTTCAACCCTCTGCTCAGACAGGAAACCTTATGCTATTCCAGACAAAAGGTTGTCTAATCTCTTTTTAAAAACCTCCAGTGTTGGCACACTTATAATTTCTGGAGACAAGTCATTCCACTGTTAATTGTTCTAACTGTCAGGAAATTTCTCTTTAGTTCTAGGTTGGTTCTCTCCTTGTTTAATTTCCACCCATTGCTTCTTGTCTTGCCTTCAGGTGCTTTGGAGAATAGGTTGCCCCCCTCTTCTTTGTGCTGTCTTCTCTATTTTCCAAAATGTTTCAGGAAAAATTGCAATTATTGCCTAGATGAATAGACAGTAACACTTTGCTACCATATCAACAAAGTATTTAAAGGTGATACATTGTGGATCTTAAGTATGTTAAACTTTTGAGTTACAGTATCGTCCCATTACCTGATAAACCACTGTCTTTTCATTTGACAAATATTTACATGCAGTTGGAATCCATTTTGTTCTAAAAAAAAATCAAAATTGAGGAAATATGTGGCATGGGATTATAACATGCCTTGTCATCTTTCTAATCTCAAGGAAGAGGCAGGACAAGTTTTCATGCCTTCTATATGGTTCACTTGATTTCTTGTTTGAAATTTCACCAATTTAATGTAATGTCACTCCTTTCAAAAGCACTCCAGTAGTGCAATAAGATAATATGAAATGAGATTGACATCCATGTTGTTTTCTTGGCAACAATACAGAAATGATTTTCAAACACTTCAGTCTATTAGATTTTCTGCTGGTCTCTCATTCATTAGATTTGGCACTGCCTTGCTGTTTGAAGTTAGCCAAGGTCAATTAGGTACTTCAATTTAATTATGTTTTTATGAAATTTTTGAAAAAGGAGAAAAGAGGCAAGGAAGAACAGTTAAACACTAAACAAATAGAGAATTTACAGGTATCATGAAATTGGGTAAGCACATTCAACATTTCATAGGTTTAAAGAAATATACTGCATTGCAAAAATTGCACATAATTAATTACAATCTAAGCCATATGTAAATATCAAACATAATCAGCACCATATAAATCTAACAATGAGATTAGGAGTCACAGAATTTCCATCCAAAGAGCTGAAGATCTATTCTCATTTATTGTAGCTTATCACTGAAGATACAAGAATAGTAAGATTTTATGTTAAGAGAAATCCAACTTTCATATGAGGCACACCTCCATTATAGAATTATTATTCTAAAATGGATTAGGTATTGCAAGCTGCTTTGAAGCAATAGTAAAAGTCAATGGTCAAACTGATATTTTACAAATGATCTTGGACCAAGCCTACCAACAAAACAGGGAAAAAAAAGCCGTATTAGTGTTTGGCAATATTTGGTTTAGTCTCCCAACAGCCCAAGAAAAGAGATGCTTAAAATCTATTGCTAAACCATTTATGATATTCTTTTATTCTGAAATACTATTACTGACAACTGAAATATATTAAATATTACATAAAATATATAATATTTAATACAATTAAGTAATTAATTGTAAATGTTAAAATTTACAATTAATGTTAACATAGTTATCATTGAACAAATAATACAATGAAACAGGTGATTCTTGCCTATCTTTTCCATAATATTTTAATATTATAAAAAATTCTTGTAATTTTAGATGTGCTAGGGAGAAACCAATATCCCACCATTAATCCAAAGAATGGATCATTCTAGCTCAAGGATAGATCAAAAAGAGACTAAAATCAAGAGTAGATATGTGGATAAATCTGAAATAGGTTATCAAGGATTTTTAACTTCAACTTCTTTACAATTGTAGTCATTTTTCTTCACATTCTCAGATTATGATCGAATGAAGAAATAGAATTATAACCATCAATAGAACAAAAACTACTCAGTTTCCATCTTCAGAACAGAATTCCTAAAGTCAAGCATCTAATAAAAACATGTCTTTTACATCAGTGTTGATATTTCTAGATCTTGAATTCCAATAAAACAGACTAATAATACACATATAAAAATATACCCAAATTTCAATGATCTTCTTCCAAGCAGGATTCAAGTGGAAAGTGGGCATGTCCACATCTCAATAGAAATCACATTAAAGGTAAACTAGTTCTAGTATTTGCTTGTTGAGAACCAGTTTCATGCAGTGGTTAGGGCACCCAGCTAAACCTGGAGACTGTGAGCCAAGGAAACTGCTGGTACTTATCCAGGCAGTCGCCAAGAGCCAACAATGACTTGAAGGCATGCACACACACAGTCAGATACACCAATACACAGACACACGTACGTTCTAGTTTTTGGATAAGCAAGGCATTAACCATAATATAGTTATATCTCAAAATGCATGGAAGGAAGCCTGTACTTCCCTTTTGTTTTAATGTTGACAAGCATGTAAGCACCAGTAACTTTCTCCCAAGATACAATATGTTTACAAAACCATAAAAATAATAATAATTGCAAATCTAAATAGCATTCTCATGAAGGACCTGTTTGTTGGGGCACTTGGGTGATGTCAACAAGAAGGCTTGTGGCTTGACAGAAACTGAAGAAGGTGATAAGTTGTTAGAGATGTCTTCTGCCTTTTTTAATATCTGTTGCTTGCATAAAGGTTAGCAATAGAAATAATATTTACTTATGCTAGTTGTGTTATAAATAGGCCTGGAAAATGCTTGTGATCCTCACACATCTAGTTTTGTTGTGATCTTTCTTGTTCTTTAGGTGAGGACAAGGTCGACCACAAGGACAATTGAAACAGGAGCTTCCACATCCTGTTCATCCCACAGACAAAGTTTCTCCTTTTCGTTGATTCCTCCTGACCATGGATAGATCCACTCAAGAGCTTTTCCTCAACTTTATGATAGTCCTGATAACAGTACTCCTCATGTGGCTTCTGGTGAAGTCTTATCAAGACTGAAAGACTCATATTCCTGGAATCATGGAAGGATCTGCTTCTGGTGTAGGATAAGAATGCTGTTCCTCAGAAGTGCTTCTCTATGTGCTCCAAGTTTTAATGTAGAAAAAATGTAATGCATTTTTTTTTTAAAAATCAAAATACCTCATTTATATGTATCTAACAATTCAAATGGATCTAAGAAGGTGCACGTTAATTTCTCTTCAAAGCATGGCATAAGAGCCATGATGGTGCAGTGGTTAGAATGCAGTATGACAGGCTACTACTGCTGACTGCCAGCTGCCAGCAACTTGTCAGTTCGAGTCTCACTGGCTCAAAGTTGACTCAGCCTTCTGTCCTTCTGAGGTCGGTAAAATGAGGACCCAGATTGTTGGAGGCAATATACTGACTCTGTAAACTGCTTAGAGAGGGCTGTAAAGCTCTGTGAAGAGGTATATAAGTCTAAGTGCTATTGCTATTGCGATAAACCCTCTTTTACCAGAATTTCCTTTTGTAAATGACAGTTGCATCTTACTTAGAATCACGATAATAGCTACAAACATGACAACTCATTAATACATCAGCTTATTGTGACTTAGACACTCATAAAGTCTTCATTGTTTCAGTTTTATGTAATCAATGGAAATATGCTGCTCTACCATTGTTATCATCTGGATAAATAATAACATTTGATGCGCTTCCTGTTCTTTTTACTTGTCTTCTTGATGTTCCAAGCCTTTTCTTACAGGATAACAGAATATTATTGTATTGCAAGAACACTAAACTCAGATCTTTAATATTGTTGTATGCATTCTAATTCAGCATTCAATATATAAAAGTAGGAATTGGGCAAGACACCAATTTTACTGAAACACCTAGATCAGGAATGGAGCAAGACACAGAGTTTTGATAGGACAACAGGTTGAAACATGAATCTTGAATGCCTGGAGGTACCATGAATCCGGGGCCTTCAACCATACAGATCCTTTATCAGTGAGCTATGTCACTTTTCCCCCAAAACATAAATACATAAACATAAAAACCTTGCATTTGTGGAGTTCCAAAATAGGATCTGGACAAGGATCTTACAAAGGCAGAAGAAGGTTTAATATGGTTTAATATGGCTAAACCCATATACTGTATACTGTATAAAAGGTTAAATTCCCTGTAAACCTTTTTCTAGACTACACTAGAAATAGTCTACTCATTTCTCCTGTTGTCCAGAAATGGACTTCATCTTTTAAAACCTTGTTTAATGAAACATAAAACAAATATGATGAGTACTATTAATCCTCAAATCCTCACCATTTTCTTGCTTTTGTCACATTGGATATTGTAGTTTTTAAGTCTTGAGGAGTCTCATCCAAAGCTTTCAGGTCTGGTCTTCGGGCTGTCCAATTGCAGGTCACTAATTCCACTTCCGCCCCTACTGTTAGTGGACCCATTGTATCAGATCTTCTTGCACTCTCCCAGGCTTCTTGTTGCATATATGTTGCCAAGCATTAATGCATACCACACCTTCCATTCCAGCAAGGTAACCTTAGAAGTTGGTCAATGAAATTGACTTATGCTGAAAGAGATATTATACACAGCCTTGACATTTAGCATCTTCAGTCAAAAGAAGCACCAACTGTTTCACTAATTTGTACATTTCTATTCCACTTCATGGCTAGCTGCTAACCAATAGAAACACCAAACAGAGAACAAGTAATCTATATTTTTTTAAAAACTGTGAATTTCCTGCCATTGGATACATAGGTATCTCAGTTTTACATACCATGCCTCTCCTGGTATCCTCCTTGAGTATGTGTGTCATCACATATTCTCAGATCTCCACCCCAGTTTAAAAATATTTTCCCCCTCTTGGGAATATACATATGAAACCAATGCTTTAGCGCAGTGATGGCGAACCTTTTAGAGACCAAGTGCCCAAACTGCAACCCAAAACCCACTTATGCATCATCGAGTGCCGGGTGGGTGTGGCCCATTGGGTGGGTGTGGCCCATTGGGTGGGCATGGCCCATTGGGTGGGCGTGGCTGCGGTAGTAACAGCAGACTGGGTGGGACTAAAAAGTTCAATCAATGAATTCCAACTTTGCAAGATCTTTTTTCCCCCCGCGAGAAGTTGAAATTGACTGATTGAACCTTTTTTTTTTTGCACACGGCAGTGGAGGCCTAAAGCGAAAAGGTTTTATAAAACCCAGCCTTAGGTTAACTTTAGTATGTTTTGCAGAGCCATTCAGCCCAGGGCAGGGATATAAGCCAGCCAACTCTTTCTCCATAGCTTCAAATATTTTTATCTTCAGGAATTTGTTTTCTTTTTTTAACTGTGCTAAATGAACAGTTTTCATGTGTTTCTTGCAAAACAGCAAAAAAACAAAAAACAAAAACAAAAACCCAAACAAACCAGAATTAGGCCATGCAAATAGATTTTCAGCATGTTTGTGCTGATAACATCTTGATGGTTCCCATACCATTAAGTTTCTCCATGAGTTTCAAGATCTTTCAGCCACAAAGTTTTTTCAGTTTTGCAATGCAGGGCAGGCATTATGTAAGTTAACTTTCTTCTTACCTTGTGAGCCGAAAACCTTGTGAGGAACGGAACTACTTGAGCACTATGGGTTATAGCAAAAGATCAAGATGCTATTTGGAAAAAAATTAACTTGGATATCCCTAAAAACATTACATAAATTATGACTTTTCTGCCTTAGAGGTCTTATTTATTCTACATGTCAGTCCAGTCCTTTGAATCCGTCTTTCAATGCTTAGCATCAATTATGCTATTTATATTGATGTTTGAACCACTCTACTACCACTTAAATCCTAAGGATACAAAAGGTTGTGGTTTAACAAGTGCTCTAACAACTCGCTAGTGCCTGGCAACCGTATCCTATAAGAGGGTGTTTCCAGACATTTAATCCTTAACAGAGGATCATCTGGGATCATCTCCCTGTATCAGACTCTATTCCAGTTGGACTAAAGACCCTCAAGAGACAAGTTTGGGTGTTTCAGAAGAATCAATCTTCATCTCACTGATTTTTGCCCCTAGTTTTAAAAAATGGCAATGGAAAATGTGGCAGGAAGATTTATTTATTTGATCCACTGCACTCAAGAGAATATAGGTCCGCTATACCACATACGAGCTACTAAAATGGGACAAGCATTAGATGGAAGGACAAAATAGAAAACTCTCTTTGCTGTCTTTCAAAGGTGATCCTTTTGCCTTTATGAATTTCCTACACACTCTGAAATGAGCCACATTAAAGTGGGTTCCCCAAATTTGGGGGTGGTTTTAAAATCAGCTGAATCTGGATTCTACCATATCATTAGGAAAGAAATTATACACCATTTCTCCTTAGTGAACAGAATTGATTAAGATGGTATCATTCTTCTTTCAAATCCTTCTCTTGGAAATACCTGAGCAGCAACACTTAACACTGCTGCATTTTAAATAACGAGCCCCACACACTTTTCCTGTTTGGAATGATGTCATTTATTCATATAATCCACAAATAATTAGGCAATACCTCAAATTCAATCTTGCTATGTAAGCAATTTCATAACCTACCCTATAACAGTCAGAAGGTAAAAAAAAAATCATGGTACTATGAAATACCATGGTAAATACAACTGAGTGTAGATTATCCAGGGTGTCAAAGGGAAGTGACAACAACCAAAATGGATTTGTTCCTCTGAAATTCCACTTTTTTTTTTTAAAGAATATTTGCATGAGCTTCATGGAAAAGGTAATGCATCTACCAGTCATTTCAGCACAATTTTATGAGAATGTTCTATACAGAATGTGCCTATTTCTTTCCTTAAATCCCTTTAATTGCTTAATAACCAGTTATGTTTACTCCTTTCACGCCTCTTTGTTAATTCCTTTCAGCTAGGAACAAAGCTGATAATCCAAGTCCAAAATTCAGTAATTGAAAAATGAAGAAAATATAGCTTTGTCCCCTTAAAGCAACCAAAAACACACTCGCACACAATCAAATTGCATTCAGACATGCAGAAATACAACCAGTGAATTCTGCATTTTCAAAGTTTAGCTGAATACTGGGACCATAACCCAGTATAAACTATTAATGAGATAAACCTCCTCTGTTCCTCCTCTCCAAAAGAATACTTTTTTATAATCATGGAGGCTGGAGATGAGAAGAACATCTAATGAGAAGAACAGTCCAGCACGTATGAAGGTAACCAAGTTATATAATGTTGCTGGAGACTTGCTTACATCCATGAATTCTTGTCAATTTAATTCATTCCCTCAAATTCATTCAAACTCCCTGCCATCATAGCCTCATTATAAATTCTTTATGTATGATAAAATTATTCACACATTTTTATTACAAATCTTACTATTGTTTTTTTTTCATGAAGCATGCATGTCTGCATGAGGGAGAAATCGTTACATTTAATGTATTTTGTCAAGTTTAGGCTTTATAAATGATATTCAAAAGCATGAGACCAGTTTAATGCTAGCATTTTTCAGTTCCCTTCACTTCAGTGCCATTGAGTTAAACAGGACTGAAAAAGTTAACTTACAACTGGATCGTGCCCAGTTTTTAAAGAAAACAGTTATCATAAAACAAAATGAATACGTTAAAAAGTTCTCACAGTACAAGTTTCCAACTAAACTATTCTGTGTATATAAACAACAACAACAAAAATATTCCCCACCCAGCTACAGAAATATAGTTCTTCAATTAAATGAAATATGCAGTAGCAAAGGGAAGAGATAAGAACCTAAAAAGTGTTTTCCAATCATGGCAGCTTTCAGATGTGTGGACTCCAACTCCCAGAATTCCCCAGGCAGCAAGGGCTGGCTGGGGAATTCTGGGAGTTGGAGTCCGCGCATTTGAAAGCTGCCAAAGTTGAGAAACATTGGCCTAAAGGAAGGGAAAGAAACACAGGACATCAATTCAAAATGTTTTAACACTGCAAAATATTGCAATATGAGCTCTCTTTGACAGTGACCAAACTCTCCATCGCAGCTGTGGGAGGCGGTTCCTGAAAGAGAGCGCGAGAAATGAATACTGCATCAAGAAGCAGGCATGCACTTGCCATGATCATTCAATACATCAGCAATTTATCTCTAGATGGTGGCGTAACACAAGAACCAGGCAGTGTTTCCAAATCAAACCATGGGGATGGCTACAGGTTGATTAAGCTTTCCGAGGCAGCAAAGTGAGGGCATAACGCCATATTCGGATTCTGCAGCTGCCTGATAATCCGTTTGTGGAATTTCTCTCGCACCCGGTTGAACTCCATTATGTCCAGGGGATCCTCTTCAATCCAGAATTTATGAAATTCATGCATCAAGTAGCCTACGGGGACAAAAAGTCAAAGGATTTGAATTCAAACGAATTGGGTTTTCCTTCGATGCACGAACGGTTTTACTATTCCTCTTCTTCATGTAACCTAATCCAAATGTCATTTAATGCTATGACTTTCTTTGGCAATAGTATGGATGTGGGATAATATGAACCGCACGGAGAGAAGGAGGTGCTGCTGAAGGCAGGACAGCCCAGATGGGTTCTCATAAATCTCTTCCATCGTGCATGCAAGACAGGTGAAAAGGACTAGTTTGGAAAAAGCCATGTGTTACTTTTTTTTAAAGCAGACAGAATTAGAGACGTTTTAATGTTGCAGTATTTTAGTGCAGGCAATTATTTTTTCACCTTTTCCAAGTGCCCTTTCTTTTTAATCAAAGGTATTTTGCTTCATCCCAAGAAAAATGTTTTTTCTTATCGTTCTTATTATCAGTATCTCTTCAAAAGGCCTTGTGTTGCTTCTTCAGTGCAATCTTTCTAGGTAAGAACAAAACCAAAACTAAACGGCTAAGTTACCTGTTTTAACCATCATTTTAAACTGTGCATATGAACACTGCAATTGCACTAACCTTTAATCCAAGCATATAAACTTGGAAAAGTGAAGTATAAGCTTGTGGCTGGAATGGTGGTACAGCAAAAGCTCAGAAGGTACAAAGATAATTTAGAAAATTAGTTCCTGGTAAAATGAGGCTAGAAAAAAAACCAAAGCCTTTCCCCCCACCCTCAAAGTATGTTTGCAAAGATATTCCCCAGCTTTACCCAAACAGCATTTAAAAAAACAAAAGCCTCCAAACTTGAGACTAGCAACGTTATCCTCTCAAATGATTTTTCTAGCAGAATCTATATCGAACTAGCAATGTAGGAAGCTTTCAAAAGCAAAGCAGAAGAACCATCTGTTGAGTAAACTATATTAAATTGAGGTTATGGGTGGAAAATGTACATCTGTAGTCAATGGAGAATTGTTGTACATGGGAATTTTCAGTTCAGATATTGCAGCCATTTCTAACAGGGAAAAATATATATGTGAATGCCAAACCAAAAGTTCTTCCAAGAGATCAAGGGGTACCAAAATATATGATATATATCGGTGTTTCTCAACCTTGGTAACTTGAAGATGTTTGAACTTCAACTTCCAGAATTCCCCAGCCAGCACTGACATTGACAGACACTGATACTCACTCACTCACTCTCTCTCTCACATACGTACACACATTTTTTGACTGGTTTATTTATAATTAACTATAAGTATTCCTTGACTTATGATCCATCGCTTAGTGACTATTTGAAGTACTGTCAGATCCCGAAAAATCTACTTACAACCCAGATTCAAAGTTCTGATAGCCAGCCCCCCTCTCAGAACCCTTAAACCCTTCTTTCCCTTAATCCCCTTTTCCCTTTTCGGGTTCTGCCATTCTATGGGGGGGAGGGGGCATATGGGCTTTCTGCAGTGTATTTCCTTTGCTTTGTTCTTTCTCTTTGAAATGTCCCATCCCTTTCTTGGGGTGAGAAAGGAATGTACCTCCACCCCTCTGCCTTATCTTCGGGTGGAGGGAAGACGGTGCGAAGAGACCTGACTGTTCTGTTCCAGCCTACATCTGTCCTTGTTGCGTCACAAGAACAACCCCTCTTTAACAGTAGGCTGGAAAAACCAACCTCTTTTTATTTCAAAAACAGTCCTGATACGTTTTACTCCAAAACAAAAACACAAAATACTTTCCCAACAGATAATTGGTTACAAAAGCAAACAGAGCAGGAGTTAAACAAGAAATTCACCGGTAAAACAAACAGACCATGATCCCTGGAAGTTCTTTACAAACGGTTGCCTTCAGCAACCAGCACCGCCCACACCTTCCCTTTTTATAAAGCAGTCCCAAGGCGTGGCTTCTCAATGCCTTCTCCTCCTCCCCTGGAGTTGTCGTATTGACTGCTGCTGACCTGCTCTAGTTGATTGCCTGCGTCTACGAGCCTCAACAATGTCTACCAGCTGTGAATCCTTCAAGTCTGACTCATCCTGCCTACACAGCTGAGTTTCATCCGGAACACGATTGGAGGGGCCAGGCTCTTCATTAGATTGTGAGTCTTGTAACTCATCAGAGCCTCCCTTCGACTCTGATGGCTCTCCAAACGCCTCCTCCTCCTCCTCTGATTCCCCGGACTCAGCTGTTGGGAACACAAGCTGGCATGGAATCACGACACTGACAACCTTGGGAGCGGCACCTTATCTGTTTGTTCCCACAACAATTTGACACCTTTGGATTGGCTCTATTTGAACGGACCAGATGGACAGTTGGCGTGGGGTTTTGGTTTCCTACTTTGAACCCTCAGATCGTGCCTTACTTTCCTGTAGTCAGCACCCCCAATAAAAGTTCCTGTTGAAATGCTGCACGTTTCAAGAGTTCTGCTTTCTTGGGAGGTTTAGCTAAGGCAGATCCTTATACCCCCACATGGTCACATGACCATATTTTGGGTGCTTAGCAATTGGCCCGTATTTGCAGCCTTAGGCAGTGTCCTGAACTCCAGTGACAATATTTATTACTTTTTGCTGGTGTTTACTTTTGATTTCTGGAAAAAAGCCTCCCAGAGTCATTAATTAAGTTCGGAGGCTACAGCAATTGAATGAATGAATGAATGAATGAATGAAGAATAGCCCAGAATGAGCTATGGATTTGTATGACAACAGAAACATTCATTTAAATGACCATGGCATTTGCTTAATAATTGCTGCAACAAAGGGTTGTAAAATCAGGCTCAGTCATATATGGTGACCTGCTTAATGACCATCATGACTTGCAGATTCAATTATGGTCGTAAGTCAAAGACTATCTATATGCATGTTCCATTTTGAAAGTATGCATTAACCCTTTGTATTTAGCAATTTTAAATAAAAAGAAATTGGGGGAACCCAAAACTTTATTTCAGTTGTTACTGATGATGGCTAAGCTTCAAACAGGAAAATGCAATAAAAGCTGGTGGGAATGAGGGATGCAAAACTAGTCAGAATTTGACCTGATTACTGCAAAGTACATTATTTGACATTAGTCAAAATGTACCCAAGGAGACATTTTGAAAAAAGATTTGAAGTGCATGACTTCTTTCTCTTGAAACCTGGCGCGTGCTGAAACAACAGAGGAATTCTGTGATATGTTGAAATCCTGAGGTAGCCAAAGTCCAGAAAGAGTAACCAAGAAGCAGAATTAGAAGACAGAGTTAAAAATGAGTGTTTGATGGTGGTAGAAATAAAACAGCACCATCTGCTGGCCTTGGCAAATCATAACAACGTATTGTCCTGAATAATGTTAAAAATTCTCCAATGCTCACAAAGGATTTAATCATCAAAAAATACACAGAAGAGTAGAATCTGGGGGACATTTCAAAACTGTTTTCCTTTGGAGACAAGTCTACTTTAGCCAACATGGGGAAAATGTTCGTTTATTATGAGATTTTGCATAAAACAGATTGGCTTATTTTTCCTGAAACAGATCTATTACTGCCAAATACAGATCATTCTCAGAACCTAATATTAGTTTTAATATAAAGCATATATTTAGTCAATGGAATGCAACAACATTTTGTATAATTGATCCCTTGTAATTTGAAGAAAATACATAAATGCAATCATTCTCTTTTACACAGATAAATCCTCTCTCTCTCTCTCTCTCTCTCTCTCTCTCTCTCACACACACACACACACAAACACACAAATACTCACAAAATGTTTGCTGGAAATGGGCTAACGTTGGAGCTTCTGGAGCAACATTGTAGCAATGTGTCTTCAGAGCACCACTCACAAGCAGGTTGTATGCAAGTTCTGTTATGTTGATGCCAACAATAGCAAAGGAAAATCTGCAAGAAATACAGAAATGAGATTACAAAGAATAAAACTAAAGCTGAAGGAACTATTACATCTAGAAAATTCAGTCATTTCTGTTTCCAAAAAGTCATGTTAAACAGTCATGTGATCACCTTTTGCAAATTTATGACAAGCAAAGTCAATGGGAAAGCAAAATTCCCTTAACAACTTGCTACTAATTTAACAGCGGTAGTGATTTACTTAACAACTGTGGCAAAAAGGACATAAAATGGGGCAAAATTCACTTAACAACTGTCTTGCTTAGCCACAGAAATTTTGGGCTCAATTGTAGTCATAAGTCGAGGACTATCTGCATTAGAGTTGCACACTACTCTTTTAACCTGGAGGTAGTGTTTTCCTTCATTGTAAACCTCCCACAACTGTGCAGTGGGCTGAGAGTGAGCAACTAACCCAAAGTCATCTAATGAACTTCTTTTCCATGATAACCACTATAACTATTCCCCAACAGACGACAGCATAGACTAGAGCAGTGGTTCTCAACCTTTTTAATGCCGCGACCCCAACCGGTCGTAAGTCGAGGACTAAACCAGTCGTAAGTCGAGGACTAAACCGGTCATAAGTCGAGGACTACCCAACCGGTTGTAAGTCGAGGACTTTCCCTGCCTGGGAGCGCCGCGCATGCGTGGTTCCGCCCCCTGCGCCGACCGAGGCGTAGCTGGCAAGCGGCAGAGACGGAGCAGGCCGACCACCAGCTGGCCCAGCCTAAGGGAGGTAAGGCACCCGCCGGAAAAGGGGAAAAAAATGGCGGACAAAAAAAATGGCGGACAGCCTTGCTTGGCGACCCCCGTGAAATGGTCGATCGACCCCAAATGGGGTCCCGACCCACAGGTTGAGAACCACTGGACTAGAGCTTATTAAAATCAACAGCTAAGCACAGTGTTCTTACCACATCGCACATCTTGTTTCATCAATGCCTTCAAAAAATAAAAATAAAAACAAAGCAGAGGTATTTCTGAAAGATAAGAATCTCCTTCTACAATTCTATGGCAAGCAGGGTGAGCAGGGATTTAATTACAAAATTAACAGCAAACGAGAATGACTCTAATGAGATTTCTGGTTTGGAATGCTCACTTACCCAATAGCTTTATCAAACTTTTTCTTCTCCCATTCAGTCTTGCTATATTTGCTGAAAAAGTTAAATAAAAGGATGGTTTACAAATGAAAAATGTTTGCCCCCTCCCCTACAGTATGTCACCTCAATGGGAAAGCTAATCAGTCTGATAGCATTTTATTCTCCCTTTTGAGATGGGCTTTTAAACTGTTTATCTCTGAAGCCAATTTAACTTGTTTGGCTATCAGTATAACATACTTCTCCTTGTTAAAATATTTCTGAGACTGATCCCCTTGTGCCAGAGACACTGATTCTTCAGGCAGCCTAAAAAACAGAGTACACCGAGAGAGAGAGAAAAAATCTGTGTTCTATATTTCTTTCACATTTTTACAAGTCTGACTGCAGCCTAAGGCAGGTAAGACAAATCACTTGAAAAAGTAAGAGAAAATAACATTACTTATTGGAAGGAGAAAAGCAGAAAATGAATTGCCTTTATGTGGAGTTGTTTTTAAACATCTGAAAACTAGTCTACATGTGATGCCTCACATTCCTGATAATGTATTCATTTGATTTTGACAAGTGAATTCCCTAAATCTGGATGGAAAAATGGCAGTTCTCAGTATCATTAAAAATAAATAAATGGACAAATAATCCATCATCCCTTAGGTCTTCAAGCAAGATAGGTTGTGTCTCAGGAGGCTTCTTATGTGAGAAGGTTGATAAAAGAAAAAGGAGTGATTTTGAATCTATTTTCATCCCCCCCATCTTAACTTGCTTATGTACAGTATGTACAATATGTATGTGTGTACAGTATGTAATTTAATCACTTTTTCTGGATTACTGGAGGAAAGGGGGGACACTAAGATGGAGAATGGTGATTACATTAATTGCATGACAATTATTCAACACCTTCCTGGAAGAAAAAGTAACTGGGAGTGAAGAAGGAAAAGCTTGACATTGGTGAAATGGTAGAAACTACACTAAGACATTTTGGATAGTTAAGAGCAGGGCTTTTTTTTCTCATAGAACGCTCAGAATGGAGTTCCGGCACCTTTTTTGGATGAAACCTTATAGGGTAGGCAAGGTGGGTTGTATGACGTGTGTGAGTTCCGGCACCTTTTTTTTTTTTTAAAGCACTGGTTAAGAGTTAATATTAGAAGAGCTCAGCGGTGCTTCAACAGGGGGTTGGGCTACAAGGTGCCTTCCAACTCTTTTATTCTGTTTCTAGATTACTAAAATTTCAGTTAGAGGAGATGCATTATACCATTTCCTTTAACTTTTAAACACCAATAACCCCCAAGAATATTTGCAGCTCAGGATTGAACTGTGAGGTTCTTGGTGCCCTCTGAAATTGGTTATTTTCTTGCAGACATTTCATTAGCTCTGATGCTATTACCTAGTTTGGTCTCTCTCTCTCTCTCTCTCTCTCTCTCTCTCTCTCTCTCTCTCTCTCTCTCTCTCTCTCTCTCTCTCCCTCCCTCCCTCCCTCCCTCCCTCCCTCATGGATGCTTTTTATTGTAGAATTACATGCATGGTCTTTAACAATATTAACAATAGGCACCTTGGGTGCAATTCCAAAAACACACGGAGAACCACTTGAATACCATCAGCATTGACAAAATCACCATTAGTCAATTGCAAAAGCAGATTTACTTGGAACAGCTTACATCCTGGGACAATACTTTTTACATTATTAAACAAAATGGGAGTGACTCGATAGATGAACAAAAATGCCAAATCCAATCTAAACACCTCGTTGGCTACGTGACCACCACTACCATCACCAATAGTAATTAATTTATATGATGTCTGAATCCAAATGACTCTAGGAGCCAACTTCTCAGATTTTGTTTTAATTTATCCCTCTGGATCTCTTTTATGTCGGTTTCCAAATTTTAGTTCAAAGCTTATAAAATAGAAAAGGAATATATGTATATATACCTTATTTCCTCTTTAGTGATTTCCCTTGATTGTGAAAGATGAAAAAAGAAAGGAAAATAAGTAAAAAAAGTCTAAATGTGGATTAATGTTCATGATTTGTTAATGAAATAAATATGTAAAAGCAAGGCATTTTATCCCATCCTCACCCCAACCCCCAAGTAAAAGAATGCAAGAAAAATGCAAGAGCATTTTACATCAAGAATAAAATAAATAAAATAAATAAAAACTGATATTTCAAATGATTTATTAGATGCTGCTGCTAATTCCAGCTTCAAACACTACCTATATTTTGGCTGAAGAGAGTCTAAGAGAATTTGCTGAGCTGCAGGACCATCATGTTCAGCAAAGTATCTAGAAGGGAGAGAGAAAAACACACAACATGTGCCAATATTGAATGACATCATTACATCACTTCAGGTATATTTTTCAACATCTGGAACATCTGGTTATTCTTATAATGAACAGACAAACCACTGTGTGTAAGAAACTGAGACCTGTTCTTTCTGCTACACCACACATAATGGAATAAGTGAGGTACACACCTGTTAAAAATGATCTAACCTAGTAGTTCTCAACCTGTGTTCTGCAGACCCCTGGGGGCCATGATGTCATCATAGGGGGTCCGCAAAGGCTTGAAGAAATGTTATGATTTAAATCTTGAATTAAGTCTTGGGGGGTCTGTGGCCATGATCCGTGGCCACAAAAGATGTTAAGGGGTCCATGGTGAAGAAAAGGTTGAGAACCAGTCATCTAACCAAATGCATACTAGGAAATATTCTTAACTTGTCTAAAACATATACCAACTGAAGAATCAAATCATGATATATGAGCACCACAGGTGGAAAAGACAGAGATCTGATACTCCTATTAAAAACCTGCTGACATTGTAATTGTTGTATTAAACAATTTAAACCCTGTTTTCTTCCATTGTAGGCACTGTAGCGTTGATTTAAAGAAATTATCGTCTACAGGGACAGATAGTTGCAATGAACTGAATTCAGACTACCCAAGTGTTTGAAGAATAATTTTCTTGACAAAGGCTGGATATTTAAAAAAAGGAAAAAAAAAAGAAAATACAATTTGTGCTTTTAAATTCATTACGTGAAAGAAAGAAAAATATACTTACAGCAAGTTATACAACCCCAGAAGCCCCATTCCTCTAAAATCTGTTTTAGGATCATCACCTTGGAAACCAATTTCACACCACTGCTTGGAAATCCGAGCTTCCAAAGGAGAATCAGGTTTCAAGCATTTCCATAGCTTTGGAAGTAAAAGAAAATCAAAGGTCTATTGTAACACAGGGCTTGTGAGCAATGATATTTTTTTTTAAAATCCGTCCTTATTGGCTTTGCCTTTATTCTTACGCATGGTGTTGAAGGATCCTGGGGCAATGTGCCAACTAAAAATCAGCAAGGCTTTCTCCTTGACACTGCATACATTTCAAACATGGCCCCCGGGAAATCTGATTTGCTTTAATACAGAAATGGTGCAAGAATCCCGATCAGGCCTCCATAGTTATTTTCTCTAACTTGGCACAAACCTCTAGGCAAAGCTGCAAATCACAGAATGGCTGTAAACACCATTAGCCATAAAGGGATTTTTTTTTCTTTATACTAATTTTGTAAGAGCATATCAGGGCTTGTCATACTGGAGACTCTTCTGCTCAAAAAAATGGATATTCATGCCTCAGCCAGGCTTAAGATCCAGATCCAGAATGTTGCTAGAATACCAGGCAAGCAAATGGCTATAATGTTTTCAGTTTCAGAGAACTGTTATGAAAAAAATACTTGGTAAGTTTTCATTTACTTTGGAACTTTGCTGACGCTATTAATTACTAGCATTTGAACTGTGTCCAGGAGCTGTGGCAACAAGTGGACTGGCTGCAAAATAGGTGTTAATCTGCTAAATCAATTAAAGGCAGGCAGACAGCCACAATCTATGCCAATGGGAACCTCTGAGTCATCTTCAAGTCAATCCAGTGTTAGTGGAATTGTAGTTATCTAATTGTGAGATGACAAGAGTCTTTGTCATCATCATCTTCCATGCCTTCTTTTACTTATTTAAAAATCGCCCCAATTAACTGAGACTCCGAGTAATGTAAAACAAAGTAAGAATAAAACAGAGAAAACTAAACAACAAAATTTGAATATCATAATAATGGTTCTCTACAGTTGTTCAAGGTCAAAGACCCAGTGGCATAAAGGAGATGTTGGAGATGACTAGGCTGAGCCTGAGGGCAGGGTCAAATGCATCATCAGTATGGAATCTCTATGCCCCTATTAAGAGACGTAAGTCCAGCTCCTCCTTGAAGTCCATTGATTCTTATCTGGCACCAATTTGCCCTGACCATTAGTAAATCAGAATCTTATGTCTAGGTAGCATGAAATAAACTTGCAGTACTTTTGAACCCTATCCTGGCTTCTGACTTCTTGCACCTGACAAAAACTCTCTTAATGGCCTTAGGAAATTCAAGAAGGGATGGAGCCAAATTTACCTGTGCAGTAGCATGTTCCAAACTGTGGGGATTAATAATGTGAAAAGGCCTGCCACTTGACTGTTGCCCTCTCAAAGAGGTGGACCCATGGATGGTCATCTCTGGAAGTTTGGATTGGTCAGAGCTAGAGTCAATTCTGGCACAGAATATATTCTGGTGCTCTACTGTATAGGGCTTTAGAAGTAATGATCAGTACTTTGAATTCAGTCAGTAAGTCTACTGGCATTTGAGCAATGACTTTAACATTTGTGTTCTTCTGCAAAAGCAGATTTGGCCCATATTAATAAATTAAAATAATTTATATGTTGCTTTCTTTAAGAGAAAACTTTCAGTTTTCAGTGAAAGTTTCAGTTTTCAGTAAAAGTTGATCAGTTGTGGAGTCTCTTTACTATGAAAAATTGTGGTCCTTGGAGAGACTTTTAAATAGAGGAAGCCATACAGAGTAGAGTGGAGTGGAGTGGAGTGGAGTGGAGTGGAGTGGAGTAGAATATTTTTATTGGCCAAGTGTGATTGGACACATAAGGAAGGAATTTAATGTAAGATTCTGTATTAAAGATCTTACATTGGGGGAAGAAGTAGGATTAGCTCATGGGTGGATAAGTCACAGCATATACAGTTCCAGAGCCCAATTTACAGGATTCAGTGTACCTCAATGTTGGTAAGGTCAATTTTTTCAAACATTTGTGGTTGATTCAGAGATTTAGGACACCATACAAATGCTCCCAAAAGTCAGGTTTTCCCATTTTATCCTTTGTTTCCCTATTGCTCATAATATCAGATTGAAAATCTTCGTTATACTAATTTTAAGGATACCACATTGTTGCCTGCAGTTTTTGGAAGCTAAAGAAATAAGCAAAAAGCTATACCTTCCCACTCAGTTTAGCAGCTTTCCAATCACTCAATGAGCTTAGGAAGAACTGTATATTTAAATCTTTTTATCAGTACTCTAAGCATGTAACTTTATTCATGGCCTTCTTAAGAGACAAAGCTCACTTGTAAACACAGCTCTAGCACTTACCTTCAGAAGCATTTCTTCATGCTGATCCTCTTCAGAATCATACTGCTCTCGACGCAGCTTTTCCACCTCAGCAATCAGATTTCTGTATCCTACAATCTGCAAAAGGCAGGCTTGCAGGGATACACTTAGCCTAGAATGAAAAGATAAGCACGGCAAACTCAGTATTTCAGCTTTGTAGGACTGATATTACCTTAGTATAGAATGGTGGCCTATTTCCTTTTTTCCCCCCCTTCCAGATGATCAGCATTTTTGAGACAGTGTGTGTATTGCTCAAAAATCTGACTTTCTAGGCATTCTACAATCTACAACAAACTGCCTGCTTACTTCAGCAGAAAAGAAACTTTCTGCATGACCGTAAGGAACTTGTGGACATACCATCTTTCAATTAATCTTTACTGATTTCCTTGATGTTTGTCCTTACAGATGATTTGTATCCTTCTTGTTTAAGAGGTGACTGAAAAGAAATCTTTTTTTCTCTCTTTTGCTGGGAGCAAAATAATATTTTTGACTGATTAAAATAAAAACTCTGCTTTTTAAAAGCATTGCTTTGCTTCGTGAATTATTAAGAACTGAATGTGCATGCCAAGCATTATATATGGAATGATCATTGGATAATAAAGTAGATTGGGAGGATAAAGAACTGGTTCCAGGGAAAGATGCAACTGTGCCCGCTGTCCATCAACAGCTTTAGGGGAGAAATTATTTATCCAAGTTTGTGGCCCTGGCGCTCATGAGGGATCATGTCAAAGAATTACAGGCAGCTCCAGTTTTAAGTTGTTGCAGTCACAAGTTGAAGCAACCTTGTGACAGGATCCCTTTTATGATGTTTTCTGTGGTAGTCATTAAGCAAATCACTACTGTGGTCATCAAGTGAATAATGCAGTACTTAAGCAAATGGTAGAGTTGTTAAGAAAACTTCTGAATGGGATTTTTTTCATGGAAACTGGCCAAACTTGCACGATGCTGTAACCAGTCATAAAGGTAACTGGTTGCCAAACACCCAAAATGCAACCACGTGACCATGAGAGAGGAGAGCCACATTTTACAATGGTCAGAAGTGCTTTGCAGGCCATAAAGTGCCTGTTCTGAGGCTGTCTCAACTCAGAACAATGGGTAAGTTGAGGAATACTTGTATCTTTCACAAAACGTTTGCCAAAACCTGCACTATATTGGTAAAATCAACTTTAAAAGAAATACAAAACAAAGTCTGAAACATTCTCTCCCCTAATGCCACATATTTAAAACTTACTGAGGGTTTACATCTGGATTAATCGTTTTCAGTTCTATGATGGCATCTACCGTTTTTTCAATTGCATCAGGAGGAACACTAATGGAATTTTGGAGCAACTGAAACAAAAGAATGATCACATATCAGTTTTCCCAAATGCACTGGAAATAAATTATTGGAACTATTATGAGAAGTCCTAAGAGGGATATTATCCTGATTTATTTAACTCTGATTAACCCTGCACTGAAATATTTATGGGGGGGGGGAATGAGACAGGCAAGGGAAGTTTTAAAAAATCAAGATGAGAGCTGCACCGCACAATCAAGGCTTCACCACTTTTTATAAGTCATGCATGATGCATGTTATAAAAAGGCAGTCATCATCTTTTTTTTGAAAACCTCCTCCTATAGACACGTCTGCATCATGGTGTCCAATAAGGATGATCATCTGTGTTATCTTTAACTGAATAACAATAAAAAGAATAGTAATGAAAATCTTCAATGCACAAGGAACTTTCAAATTTCCATCTCATGAATATTCAACAGCTGTCAAAAGGATAGGGGTGAAAGACCCCTATTTGTTAAGGCAAATCAATGAGCATCGATATTACCAGGCAATCAATTCCTGAACCTCTAAATATGTCAGGTAAGTATCTCAGAGCCAATAAGATATAGAGGTTATATTTCAATTCCTTCCTTTTTACAGTATCATATTTTTCAGGTATCTGAAGATCTTGTTTCCAATTCTGCTATTGCAGTATAGATCACAGAGCTAATATTGTTGCATCAAATGTACACAATACAGACAAACTTTTACCCACCTTGTTTTTTGAATTCCTCAATGATGTCTCTGTTGGGAAAAATATTTTTGAAATTTTAATATTTTTTTTTACATTTTAGCATTTTTAACAATGTGGCCAATAGAACCATATAATATTTTATCAATGGGCTTTCACCAGCGAGGAAAAGTGAAAAAGGAGGGATTTTATTAGGAAACAAAGAGGGTTGAATTTTTATATGTACACAAAATATTTATGGGGAAGCTAAAGATTAATAAAATAAGTTTTTTTTAAAAAAAAATAAACTGTCTCAGTAATGTAAAATATATTTTTATTCAGCAGGACAATCTGTCTAATCTAGAATTTCTAATGTCTTGAGGTAGGATGGCGAATCGGGACCCCCAAATCACCAAACATCAGAAAATACAACCAAAGTCATATTTAGGGTGAACATCAGAACAAGCCAGAAGTTATTGCAGGATAGGTAGTCCTCAATTTACTACCAGAACTGGGACTGGAATTTCCATTGTAAGTTGATGCAGTTGTAAAACATAATATCATGTGAACCAGTTTTTTTACAACCAATTTTATTGGGGTTGTTAAGCAAAGCACATGTCCATTAAGCAAATTAAATGGTCATTAAGCAAATCCAGCTTCCCCAGCTGAGGTTGCTTGCTGGAAATTGGCTGGAAAGATTTTAAATGGCGGACACTACAACTTGGTTGTAAATGCAAAGTGGTTGCCAACTGCCCAAATTGTGATCATGTAACTGTGGGGATGGTGTGACAGTTGTAAATGCGAAGATAGGTTGTATATTGCTTTTTCCCAGGCTGTCATCATTTTGAACCATCCTTAAATGAAGGATTGTAAGTTGAGGTCTGCCTGTATTAGATCAAGTACTATGAAGAAAGAGAATTAATGATACGAAGCTACACACTACACCAGAAAAGAGAACAAGTGGCTTTTGTTCCATTTGCTATCTATCTTGTTAAATTCTGCAGGAAAAAAAAAAAAAACTACTATGTGTAGTCCAAGGAAAGTTTGTTTTTTTCCTATATCAATCACTGTTGGCTCCTAATAAGGAAACTGATGTAATATGATAAATGAAACCCAACTTGATAAAATGTTTGCTTGCTTGCTAACTTTTGTCTTCTGTTGAAGGCTGTCTTCTTGCCACAGTTAATCAGAATTTTATGAGACTCTTCAGCGGCAAATTTCATTGCCTTTAATTGCAATTAAGGAGGTAACCTTTTCTTAAACCAATATCTCAGGAAGACAGCAGGATAAGGACGTCTAGGTCACAAAAACATGCTTTCCAATAAAACACAGGTAGTCCTTGACTTGCGACCACAATTGAGCCCAAAATTTATGTTGTTAAGTGAAACATTTGTTAAGTGAGTTTTGCCCCATTTTACGACCTTTCTTGTTTAACAGTGTTAAGTGAATCCTTCCAGTTGTTTAGTAACACGGTTGTCAAATGAATCTGGGCTCCCCATTGACTTTGCTTGTCAGGTGGTCACAAAAGCTGATCACATGACACACACACACACACACACACACATCCGGGATGCTGCAACAGTCATAAATATGAGTCAGTTGACAAGCATCTGAATTTTCATAGTGTGACCACGGGAATGCTGCAACGGTCTTTCTTCCATGCTGTTATAACTACTAACAATCACTAAATGAACTGTTGTAAGTTGAGGACTGCCTGTATTCTGAAACATCAGTTTTGATGATGATGTATAATAAATAATTTTAAATTAGATTCATATACAATAAATCAGTCCAATCAAGGCTTGAGCCAATTCATGAACTGCCAACCAACCAACCAAACAAGTCAACCATTTTATGATTATCACGATGAATGAAAATAAATATTAAGAGTTGCCTAAAGATGCTTACCAATTTTCAAGGTTCTTTCAGCTCCAGACTTGATATTATAGCAAATCCTTTGCAGCTCACATCGTCCGGTCAGTTTCCGCACCACAAATTTCAGGCAGCGCCATAAGCATTTGCAATAGAAATACAGGCATACCTGGACAAGCATTCTGTCAAAAGAATCCTTAAAATGAGAAACCAGGAAAGCCTTTTTTTTATCAGCAAAATGATCCTCGATGGCAACAACACGTCTGAACTTTGCTGAATTTAAGAACAATATTTTTATGACACAGCTCTAGGTAAGACTTTCAAAAACAGTTTAGCATGGTGAACAAAGCGCCACTAACACGAAATAATAATTCTTGAAAATTGCTAGGGCTACAGGGTCTAAACAAGGTAGGGACACTAATCGCATTGTTTATCACACCCATGACTTAATTTCTGCAGCAGTGCAATTGCTCTATATTATGGAGGAAAACTCTTAGCATATTCATTTATATTTTAGAGCAGAATGGGTAACTCATGAGCTATATGCAGTTCCTAAAAACCCCTTTTTTAAGAACTCCCAAAATAATATTTTTGCTAAAATGAAGAGAAAAATAAGATTGTTAAATCTTCAAAAGATTATAAATAAAACCAGCCCCCTAAAAGCTTCCGCCAAAGCTTGAGCCTTATCTCTTCTGTTTTTTTTTATCAAGCACTCTTATAAAATCATACAACTGAAGGGACTTAAAAGGTCATCAACTCCAACTTTTTGCATGCTGCAGGATTCTCTACACTGATCTGTCTGACCTTGGAAACTTTAAGACTTGAGGCCCCTGACCTAGACCAGAGGTCCCCAACCTTTTGGGCACCAGGGACCAATTTCCATGGAAAAAGGTTTTTCCACAGACCAGAGAGTGTGTGGTTTTGTGTATTGCCTGCATCCCACACATGGGACTTTGCTTGTTTGTGAGGACCGGTTGCTGGCATGCCGTGGCCTGGTACCGGTCCACAGACTGGGGGTTGGAGACCCCTGACCTAGACTACAGAATGACACTACTTCCCAGCTATATTTGCATAGCATGTTTAATTTAACCACTGTCTTTTCAACTCATTGTTCACATGGTACAATAATTATGTAGTTAGTGGGCTGTACAAACACAGTTCCAGTAAGGGAACTGACCTCAATTACCTTACCATGCACCCATACTGGATGTGTTCATACCACATATTAATCCAGAAGTCCCCAAGCCCTGGTACGCAACCTGGCACCGGTCCGCGGCATGCCAGAAGCCAGGCAAACAAGTGAAGCCCCATCTGCGCATGCGTGGGATGCAGAAAGTGTATGAAACCACGCCCCCTCCGGTCCGAGGAAACTGAACCACTGAACCAATCCCTGGCACCCAAAAGGTTGGGGGGGCACTGTACTAACCAATAGTTTGCCTAAGTAAGGTATAGTGATTAAACCAGAATGAAAGGGATTCATTAAGCTATAATTACACTATATGGGTTTGTCAAAATCCTAAACCTCACAAGGGAGTTCAATTTTGGCTTAGTATATTGTAAGGGCATTATGGTTTGAATAGAGGAGGAAAGGAGCATTGTGCCTTAATCAAATGACACTTATTGCAAGTGTGACGTTTGATGTATTCAGTTAGTGCTATTTAAAAAATGCTGAGTACATAATTTATGGGTTCATATTGACTTTTTTCAAACAAACCACAGTTAAGTCTAATAATTGTTCATTGGTTTCAGACACACAGTGCATGTAGCCAATCCTTACCCTCATGCTCTTCTGTGTTCTCTGGGTACACACACAATGTGTGAACTTAAGATTTGCTTAGGTTCAGGATTTGCAGGCTCAGATGAATGACAGTTTGACAAATGAACACAAGATCTGGGCATATGGAGATGCTGTACATGCAGCTTTCCCCTTTGTTACATCTTTCACTGCATATTGCTTCCACATGCTGTCCTTTATAAACATTAAGTGGTCTCTGTCATTTAAAGACGTTATGAAGCTTGCTTACATAGGAACTCCATGAACTTTAGAAAATAAGCTTGAGGCAAGGATCCATCGTGTTCTATTATTGCACTATAGTTACTACAATACTTATGAACTACACAATCCTTTTCTCACAAGTCTCAGTTTTTGTTTATACAACATATTAGGTTATAAATATGGTTTGGATCATTTATATTCTTTGGGTGAAGCCAGACAGAGTGGTTAATTTATGAATCAGCATATTGGGCATAGAGATAATGAGCTATATTCAGTATTGTATGAACACTTCCCTACAGTATTTACTGAGGCTTACGCCCTGGTAAAGTGCACAAAGGGTTGCAATCTACATAAATTAAAATAATGTGTACACTTTAAAAGGCATGTGCCAACAAAGAATTATTTTATTTTTTTCTATCTACATCCTCTTCTACGGAAGCAGAAAAATGAACGTTGCTTAGTTCTTAAGCATGTGATTCTCAGGGGACATATATGTTTACCGCAATTATCAAGAACACATTCATGTGAATTGATCTGTCTGCAGTTGGTTAAGAAACCTATGTGATCAGTGATGCTGTGTTTTTAAAAGAACCTGGTACAAGCAATCTGTACCCTGTAATTATTATTCCTCAAGATACACATTCCAGTATATATCAAATCACATTTCCTAAGACCATTTTATTTCCAAGCTAACATTCAAAGGACTGATATTTTTGACCTTAGTCAAACTGCAAATTAAACTAAACAGAATTAGTAGGAAAGACCACATCACAGCCATAACACCAAAATTGATGGTGGAACATATAACTATATTACAGTGGGATACTACAAAAGAAATGTTATGTCTTAGAAAGGTTAACTACAGGAAAGCGAACATTCATTTGATGGGTACCTTTAAATGATATACTACTCCTCCATCTTAAACTTATGGCATTGGAGATCTTCTTTAGGAGCAAAATGGTATTGACTTAAATACAATTAAGGCTGTTATCATTTCAATGGTTTATTTATATACAGTATAAATTCTTGCTTGTAGAAATCCTGCAATAAAAGCACACTATGAAATGGATTAGGTTTTTAAGATGATCTGACTTTCCTAATTTTACCAAGATCACAAGATTAAAAAAAAAAAGGAGTACAATTTTAATGCCAAATAATTATATTCGGAAAGGGATTCCTACACCATATGTGTATTGTGTTGTTTTAACCATTTAGTTGTGTCTGACTCTGGGCAACTTTATAGGCAAGTGCTCTCCATGCTACCCTGTCAAGCACAGCTTCTTTCAATTGTTGGGATGTTCACGTTTGTGGCAGATTTGATGTTATCAAGCCAGCGTGTTCTTTGATTGCCCCTTTTTCTTCTTTCACTAACCATTCCTAGCACCATTGCCTTCTCCAATGAATCTGAAGACAGGACATGGCCAAAGTAAATCAAATGTGTATCTAGTATGTTATTCCCTGGACAGATGGGGAGAGAGCTGTCACCAGCCTAATTCTACTTCTTCTACTAACTACATTTGAATCAGTAAGACTGATAAGGTTTTTTCCCATCAATATTGAGTTCTTTTTGCCTGGATGCTATTCCCTAGGAAAAGAATAGCTCTCCTTTTTTTTATTGCAGCAAATAAAACTTCAACCTTACTATTTGAGGAACTTTTTAACTTGGGATAGAAGGAGCAATGCAGTTGTTTCTTTGCATGTTAAAAATGGATTTTACTAAGTATATAAGTAGTCATGTTGCAAATAAGTAACTTAATTTATTAAGGCCCCGAAAAACATTCTCTGAATATGTAAATGGTGAGCATGGAGACATCATGGTGCTTTGGAAATGGATCCATTTGTCTCGAAAATATCTCTAGGACTCAAGCTTGACTCAGATTTTTTTTTACCTTTTATGTATCTGTTATGATGTTATTCTGATTAGTCCTGATAAAGATATTATCCAGCAATAGATTCTGGATTTTTTTACACCTTCCCTATTTAATTTAGAGGAGGTCTACCTATAGAAAGAAGCATCTACTTATTGTCTAAAGCAGGAGTAGGCAACCTTGGCTCTTTTATGACTCATGGTCTTCAACTCCCAGAATTCCTGAGCCATAATGATGGACTCTGCACTGAATGCAAAGGCGTCTGTTAACTCATTACACCAGGGGTGGGCAACTATGGTAACTTTACGACCAGCTGGCTTAGGAATTCTGGGAGTTGAAGTCCACAGGTCATAAAGTTGCCATAGTTGCCCACCCCTGCATTACACCCAGCCTTATGGAATACTAACAACAGTTGTTTTCCGCAGTTACCAAAATGCAACATATAAATGCAAGCTTATTGCCTGCTAATAGAACCACACATGGGCAGAGACTAGAAACAAGGGAAGTTATCAAGGAAGAGATAAGGGGCCTGAACATTTGTTCAGCTTGGAATACATATTTTATAATACTTAACTGACACATAAGCTCAGTAAAAATTCTAACTTGGATTCATTAAAACGAAACCGCCACCTTTCTCTGTCTTTCACTGATGCTATTTTCATTTTCCTTGAATTTCCCCCAATAACAGCTAGATCTTTCAGATTAAAACAAGACTGGTTTTTCATTTTATCCATCTGTTTAGATTAAAAAAAGCACCATGGCAACCAGAATTATTATCACAATAAAGCGTTCAAAAACACTGCAGACTCTGCAGATTGATCTCACGATTCAGCAACCTTTAGCGATTCATTTCTCTAGATGTGAGTGGAATAAATATCACACCCACTACAGATATTTGCTGCCCCTTGTAAGGAATGTATAAAATAAATGTACAGAATGATAGTAAACAATGGTTCTATGGGTTCTAAGCATAGGCCCTCTTGGGAAAAAAAGCACAATTAAAAAAAGTAGCTGGGTAACTTGGAATGTTATTAATTCCACTCATCAATTCCGTGATGAGCTTAAGTGTCACAAATTTCCCATCTAAAATATGGATAGAGATGACTAGTAGAATGTATAACTGTTTCCCAGTTTCCCCCAGCCATATGAATTGGACTAAGTCTGTGACTACACCCTCATGAAGCTATGTGTTACCACTCCAACAAAATAGATGTTTTAGGAAACATTTTATTGTAACCATAACCTAAAAGTGCTTATTTAATTATTGAGCTTCGGCCCTAGATATATCCATAGCATTTCAGCTTCAGATCATTACCATTCCCTTTTAAAATGCTTCATTGGTCAGAATCTGATTTTTTCACATGTTTCTTAGAACAACATAGCTCAATTCTCTCCAGAGTAGTCTCTAGAGAACAAATACAACTCCTCCACAACCTTAAGACTAAATTCTATTTAAAGCTTCTTGGCATCTGATTATAAGGTAAAATGCAACTATTAGCTCTTGTATTTTAATTTCCTTCCCTTTCTAGGCAGTTTTGTTCTGCTCTGACTGCTTTTTAAAATAAGTTAAGAGGCCTGATGGAGTAGCTCTCATTTGGAGCTAAATAGCTCTTTACTGTAGTTGGCAACAGGACCTTGGAGAGTACCAGAAAGACAGATCTGCAATGAGTAAACTGACTGGGTCTGTTTTGCAAGCAACTCTAGGAGTCGTAGTTGAACACTCTAGACTAGAGACAAGGAAAGTATTTTCTTGTGATGATAGATTGGGATGATCAACTCAAATAGCAATCTCATGCCTTAGGACATAATAGCAAATTTATAGTCTTCATTTCCAGCACTGCCATTCTCATATATATCAAATCCAGGATTTATTTCCACCATACACACCCCAGACCCCTGCATGGCTTGGATTTTGCTAAAAGTACTGAGTTTTCATGAACTTTTGGTATCAATAGCAATGGCATTGTTAGCATAATGAGAAAGAGCTTGATTCTTGATTCTAACATGCACAGCTGCAACAGCCTGCAGATTCAGGGTCCAGGCTCTTTCTAACTCAGTGTTTCTCAACCTTGACAATTTTAAGGCATGTGGACTTCAACTCCCAGAAATCCACAGCCAGCAATGCTGGCTGTGGAATTCTGGGAGTTGAAGTCCACATGCCTTAAAATTGTCAAGGTTGAGAAACACTGTAAATCTAACTCAATGAAAAAAAAAACCTAAAAAATATTCCCCATCAAAAACTGTTCCAAAATAAGAAATAATTGCAACCCTGTTGACATGTGCAACAGGATTCCATCCATTCTGAATCCTCTCCCCACCAACTCCTCACCAACTGCAGACAGCTGTATGGCCCTGAGGCACCAAAAGATTTTCATCCTGACACAGCTTAATACTTTGTTTTTATCATTTAGGTCATAGCATCAAAGTAGAAGATTATGTATGAGCAGATCATTTCAACATGCCAGAACAAATATTCTTGCTTTGGGACACTTGGAAAGAATGCAGCACAGAGGGGAATGTTCAAAAAAGGAATATTATGACTTATTATTATAGGAATAATTCATAGATACATTATTTACAGTAATGTGTATGCAGGTCATCCTCGATTTACGACCACTAGAGGGAACAGTTTATGTCTATTGCTAAGCAGGTGGTTATTAAGTGAGTTGCACCCATTTTCACCATGATCGGTACGTGAATTATCAGAGTTGTTAAGTAAATAACATGGTCACTAAGCAACTTCTGCTATTGACTTGTTAGAAGTCATCTAGAAAGGTTCCAAATGGTGATTGTGTGATCCTGGGATGCTGCAACTGTCATAAATATATGCTGGTTGCTAAGTGCCCAAATTTTAATCACATAACTATGGGGATGCTTCAGTGTGAGAACTGGTCATAAGTCACTTTATGAGATGGGCAGCATATAAATTTAATAAATAAATAAATATTTTCATGAATGAAAGCAAATAAATATTTTTTTCTGTACCATCATACCTTTGAATGGTCACTCAATGAATAATAAGTGAGGATCACCTGTAGTATATTAAAAGTGGTTTAAAGACAGAATGAGATTACTGAACTGACACTGGGAGATTGACAATAATTTTGTTCTTTTAAGCTATAGCAACATGAGTTCTCACTGAAATGAAAGTAAAAATTACCAGAAATGAGCATGTATTAAAAAAAAACAACTAGTGAGCTATGGCGCAAAATATAAATTCCTCAGCTCTAAAATGCCCAGTTCTAACAATAAGTCTTTTCTATCTTGCCCTGGCCACTGGGCTTCTGCATTCTAGTAAGAATAATCTCAACAACTCAAATTAGATCTGATGCTTGTACTCTTCCCAGCAATTTTAATGGTATCTTTCCTCCAGCTTATCAAAGATTACAATAGTACAGAAAAGACCCATAAAAAACAACAACAAAAAACCCTACTTCACCAGAAGCATAAAGTGAGGTTACCCTGGAGTCAAGCTCAAAAAAGATTGTATCACAGTGTTTTCATTAGTCTAAGAAACACAAGCTGCTTCTTTTTCATCCTTTCCTCTTTTTGTGCTTGAACAGACTAATTTGTTTTTCCAAATATCCAAATTATGACATGCTTTCGAAATGTCTTAAACTGAGAAATTACATCCTAGGAATTTTACAACCATGAAATTACTTTAAACCCGGTGGTTTTTTCCAATTAACATCTTAAATCAGCAATATGTGTCAGTTGTTTAAAGATAAGAGAGACAGAAACAGTATTTTACTATGGTTAACGACCAGCACAATTTTTAAAGACTACTCAAGCATCAGAATTATACAGTCCAACAGGTGTACATAGAGACACAAAAAAATCAGAAAGACTGAATTATGACACCTAAATATTTCAATGACTTTATTCCTTCATAATGGTACAGATCTTTTTCCATTATTTTTTTTGTTGCTTTCAGAATTGTATATTATAATACAATGCAATTTGTATGATGCAACTTTAATTGTAAACTGCTTAGAAATGTGCCTTTATGGGAAATGGTATAAAATACTGTGCATTAAAAAAAATAAAACTAGAGAAATCGTGGAGATTTGGAAATCATATAATCAACATGCTAATATTACACAATCAGATTTTGCTGCATGCAAAATTCTAAGTAAAAGATCTTTGAAATTTCCAGAAATTTTACCTAAGGTGTAAGGCACAATCAGTGTCTTAATTTGATTTGTTTGCTTTTAATAACTGATAAGAGTCTAAACTAAACAGTAAATTTAGAAAAAGAAGCAATGCTTCTTGAATTCATCATGCTTTCAATCTAATGCTATCTCTGAGGATAGTCATAAGCACAAAATCTCTGAACATTTTCATTACTTCTAGCAGCATTAAGTCATTTCTCCCCTCTGGTTCAGTCTTAAACTTCTGAGTGTCTCAATCTTTGTTCTTCAATGTTCAAGGTATTAAATCTCAAGGCTGCAATAATCGTCTTGTAGATAAATAACCGATGCTTATAAGGAATTAAAGAATGAATGGAAGAGTGAGATTAAGAATTGTCACTGACTGGGAGATCAGCGCTGCAGTATGCTACAGAAAAGTATAATTGTATGAGATAAGGAAACATAGCCAAGCTATGGTCAGAATCAGGTTAAAATCCTTATTCAGTCATGAAATTCATTGGGTGACTGCAACTCTCCCAGAGAATTGCTTTGAGGATAAAACGAGCAAGTTCAGGTAGTCCTCGACTTATGACCGTAATTGGAATCAGAATTTTCATGGCTAAGCAAGGCAGTTATTAAGTGAATCTCATCTGGTTTTACAAACTTTGTTTTGCCGTGGTAGTTTAGTGAATCACTGCTGTTGCTATGTGAAACACGTGGTTATTAAGTGAATCTGACTTCCCCACTGACTTTGATTGTTGGAAGCTGGCTGGGAAAGTGGCAAATGATGATCACAGGACCCTGGGATATGGCAACCGTCGTAAATATATGGTGGTTGCCAAGCTTTTGAATTTTGATCATGTGATTGTGGCAATGCTGTGATAGTTGTAAGTGTGAGGATCAGTCATAAGTCACTTTCTCAGTGCTGTTGTAACTTGAGGACTACCTGTATGTTGCCTTACACGCTTCACAGAAATGTTGGAGAGAAACAGAACTAATACATAAATGAACAAGTAATGAATAAACGATGATTGATTCTGTAATTTGCTCAACATCAAACAATGATATAATCCAGACTTTCTTGAGCAAACTGATTTCCTTGATGAAATATTTTAGAGCAGTCTCAAACCAACCTCAACTGGAACTTTGTCTTAATCAAGGGCTTTCTATAAGCCAAGGGAAGTTACCTGAGAAAGTGCTTCATGATGGCGATTTTATATTTCAGCTATAGCGATGATCTTCAGTTAGGCACAAGCAAGCAGCTTCTCCAGAAGTAATTGATGCTACAAAGAGAAAGTGAACATATTTGATCAATGAAAAATAAACAGCGTCCAAGCACAGCTGAATCTTCTTTTCAAACATCATCCTACTACTGAAGATCAAATATATTTTGCAGAAAACATTTACCTAGAATGTGAGGCACACTATATTAAATGAAGTTCAGTGTCAAATACATGAAGAACCTAACATATTTATTGCGCCTTTGAGTCAACTTTGACTCCTGGCAACTGCCTAGATAAGTCCCTGAAGTTTTGTGGGCAAGAGTTTTGCTACTGCCTTCTTCCTAGAGCTGAGAATGTGTGACTTGTCCAAGGTCACTCAAATGGCTTTGTGCCTAAGGAGGGACTAAATCTGAGAGTCCTCTGGTTTCTAGCCTAATGCTAGATATTTCAGTTCCCAGAATCTTTCACCAATGTGGACTGATTTACACCATCAGGAGTAGCTGGCCACACATTATTAATCCCTAATGATAAATAGCTGTCAGCTATGATAGCTAAGTGGAAGCTCCCTAATTCGATCCACTCTACTTCATGAAAAAGAAATAATGGAAGGGCCTCAATTTTAGGTGCAACTTGTGAACTTGCTTCCCAGAAACATTTAGCTAACCTAGCCTGAAATGTAATTACTGTTATATGACCTTACTATTAACCTTACCATTAATCTTATTATTGTTGCTCTTCTCTGCACTCTTTCCAGTTACTTGGTGTCCTTCAGATATTATAATGACCAGAACTGGATCCAACCCTGAGCAGTGTAACATAGCCAGCACTATCATTCCCAAAAGCTTGACACTATATTTCTATTGATGCTGCCCAAAATTGCATTAGCAGTTGCAGCATATTGCTATCTTATGCTTAATCCCTGGCCTACCAAAAACTAGATCTTTCTCACAATTGCTCTTGAGCCAGGTACCTATTACAGCCGTGGTGGTGCAGTAGTTAGAATGCAGTATTGCAGGCTAATTCTGACGACTGCCAGAACTTAACCAGCTCAAGGTTGATTCAGCCTTCCATCCTTCTGAGGTCAGTAAAACAAGGACCCAGATTGAGGGCAATATGCTGATTCTGAAACTGCTTATAGAGCACTGTAAAGCACCATGAAGCAGTATATAAGTCTAAGTGCTATTGCTATAGCTATTCTATATCTGTGCATCTGGCTTTCTGTACCCAAGTGCAGAACCTTACAGTTTAGAAATTACTTAGGAAGGTGATCTATAACTTCTACACATGTACAAATAAATGACATGGTCCCACAGAAGCACAGAACTTTCATTTCTTATTCATGATAGAGCAGCATCTCCTTCAGGCTTTCTCTTGTTCTATACATGTAGTCCTTGACTTACGATGTGTCATTTAGCGACTATTCGAAGTTGCGATGGCTCCCTACAAAGTTATTTACAACCCGGTTTTTAAGTTCTTTTATTGTCCTCCTCCCGTGGTCACATGATTGCATTTTAGATGTTTGGCAACCAGCCCACATTTCCAGGTGTTTGCAGTGCCCCTGGATCACTTGAATGCAATTCACAATGGCTGTGCAAAAAAACAGCATTTACTTCTGGTTCGGGCAAAAACCAGCCCATGGCAAACAAATGAATTTGCTTAATGACCACAAAGGTTGTTTAATGACCGCCATGAAAAACACTGTAAAATCGGCTTGGGTCATGTGGTCACCTTCTTTATGACGATCATGAGTTATAACCATAATTGCCAGTCTCAATTATGGTCATAAGGACTACCTCTATATGCTGCTTACAAAAGTCCCATTCTAAAAAGAATGGCTCAGTACTAAATGTAAAACTGGATTCAGCTGAGTGTGATTTTCTGTGAAAATATTATCTAAGTAAGGCATTAAAAACCAAGTTCTAATCTATGCAGTGTTAATCTATTCCTTCTTTTAGAATCAATAACAAGCACAGACACTTTCTTCTCAGGCACAGTTTTATTTGAAGCAAGCAGAGACCAGCTTTTATCTTGACACGATTCCAAATCCAGTAGAATACATTTCTGTCTCTATCAAAACTTCTACATGCTTTCTCCTTATTACAGTGCTGCAATTAAAATAATTTGAATGCGATAACTCATATTTCATAGATGCATTTTAAAGATCGGTTCAGGCAGAGAAATATTTTGGCACACTCAGTGCTAAGGACCCCATGTCATGAGCTGAAACTCCCATTCATTTAAGACTGTACAAAATGAATATAACACATAGCTCTATGACGCATCTCATTGCTCTTTTCAGAGTGTTTTAAAAGACTCAATACTCCTGGGGAAATTGCACAATCAGACTGTGGAATCCAACAAAGTGGGAGATTAAAGGCAAGCCTTTGTTCCACCTACCGATGTCTTTTCCTTTCATATTTTATTTCAGAACATCTGTGAATGTATACATTACAACGTCCCCTGCTAAAAGCAAGCATTCAAAAGACACTTTTCTGTTGGCAAGTGGTCATTTAAAAACTAAGCAAGTGCAGCCACATGGGCAGTTTTTGGGGCCCCAAGGGTGGCCCATATAACCCCAATGCTCTGAGGGCTGCGCTGGCTGCTAGTTTGCTTCCGGGTGCAATTCAAAGTGTTGGTAATTACCTTTAAAGCCCTTCAGGGCCTGGGTCCAGGCAACTTGAAAGACCATCTCATCCCACTGGGATTGGCCCGTCCCACCTGTGCCAGCAGAGGAAGCATGGTATTGTGCTGCCCTGCTCCCCTCACACACAACACTCAAGTCCTCGGGGCGGGATTAAGTAGGCCGCACTGATGCAGCCCTGATTCAAAATAAGCAACAGTGTAATCAGGAACAAAAATGTGCCCATAGATATAATCTGCAATGCATGGCAGGCTCTCTGCTCTATCTAACATCACTTTGTTTAGGTTCTCCAGGTCTTCAAGCTACAACCAACATGCCACTTTCTACTATTTTCTTTAAGAAATGTAGCTACAACCCAATACTTTCTTTGACAATGCCCTCCCCCCCCAAAGGGACAAAGCAATTGATGGAAGGAGTGAGTATGCTAGCTGAAATCCAGCATTTTTATTTATTACACCAATAATGCCCTGGTGTTTATTTCAGGGAGGTGGGTTGTCCTAGTTCTAGAACAGAAATTGGGAGGAGGAAGGGCAGCAGCAAGAACTCATTCCATTTCAAAATCATTCCACCTCTCTCAAAGACCTCAATTTCTCATTCAACTGTGTTACTCCAGTTTGAGATGTACAATCTCACAGCAGCCCTTGACACACATAGATAAGAATAAGCAATGTTATTTGGAAAGGCCATTAAAGTTCCACATTTAGCAAAAAGCAGGAACAATGCCAAATATCTGTACAACTTTTAGATGAGGCACTGAAGATACTCCAATTGCCAGCTGGAATGAGGCAAATAGTAATGCTCCCCTGTAAGCAGAAGGTTTTTGCAAAGAGAAAAAAATCCCAGCCAACTTATGTAGCAACACATTAGCATTTTGCAGCTAGAATGCAGCTTGGCTGTCTAGTCCTATTTTATCTGTCAGCCAACTCCCCAGGCACAAGCAGTAAAGAAAAGGTATCTTGTCATTCAACAGACTTTATAATTCAAATAAACATACTTCTCTGGATCTTCTGGGGTAGCCTTATTTACTGCAGGCTCTGGTTTGTAAAACCAGATTTCTATGTAGTTCAATTAAAAAAAAAGGAAAAAAAATCTTTTTTTCCCTGTAAATATATATATTTCCATTCATTTCGAAGAAGCTTTAACACTCTTGTGTCTTTCCTTAATAAACAGCACTGAACAATAAAAAAAAAACATGTGGAATATCTCTTGGGAGGACATAGTAGTTTCAATGACCCTAAGGGTGATCTTATTGGGAATGTAAGTTCCTAAGGGGTTCATCTTTCTTGGTAAAGATAAAGAAGGGAACCCAAAAGTGCTTTTCAAAAGACAACTGGGCTTTCTTGGTTTTTTCCTTGAAAACATTTCACTTCTCATCTCAGAGGCTTCTTCAGTTCTGTCTGAATGGTGGGGAATTATATTCCTTATCAATCACCTCTGAAGTTCAGTTTTTAGCCCTCTGAGAATCATTGAGGGCACTTGGGGCTTTATTCTCCAAAGCGCCAGAAGGCAGGACAAGAAGCAACGGGTGGAAACTAACCAAGGAGAGAAGCAACCTAGAACTAAGGAGAAACTTCCTGACAGTTAGAACAATTAACCAGTGGAACAACCTGCCTCCAGAAGCTGTGAATGCTCCAACACTCGAAGAGAGCATTTAAGAAGAGACTGGACAGCCATTTGTCTGAAATGGTATAGGGTTTACTGCTGGAGCAGGGGATTAGACTAGATGACCTCCAAGGTCCCTTCCAACATCATCATCATTATTATTATTATTATTATCATCATCATCATCATCATCATCATCATCATTATCCTCCAAGCCACCTGAATTAGAGTGCAAATGGATGTGGGACCTTCTTGGGACTGCTGAAAGGACTGTGTTGTAGACAGGGGATAGGTAGTGTTGTATTCCTCCACCTCTGTTGTTCAATTTTAATATAGATGGCCTCTTTGACCCTCTTTCAAACTAGTGGTCCTCTCTGTCCAAAATGAGGACTTTGCTGTCTTCAAAAGTGTTACCTTTGCTTTTCAGATGCAGATGGACTGTTGAATTTTGTCCTGATAGATTTGTCCTCCTGTGTCAAGAGGGGAAGGGCAAAGCTACCACAAAGGGACTGTGGGCAGATGACACCCCCCCACAGACATTGGAGAAGCCAACCCACTTAGGACAACAAACTTCAAACTTAAACCAAGAAAAAAAAAGGAATAGCTCATTTCTCATTTAGTTATGCCTTCCTTAATTTGACATGTTCTAGGGAAATACAGGTTGCTTTGAGAAATATTGATTTGCAAGAAACCAAGTAGTGGTCTTGTCTTACAGATAAATGGATGCATGCGTGTTTG